GCCTGCTGCCTGTCCCTGGGAGTGTGCCTGCCCAGGAGAGCACAGCAGGGAGCGCAAGGCAGGTGATCACTGCGAGATCTGGGTTTGTTCCTGTACGTGGTGAAGGAGCTGTTCTTGCTGCACAGTTTCTCCAGGCAACCTCATGGTTAAAGATGCATAAACAATATGCATTTGCCTTGCTTGCATAATTCCTAGGGGATTAACATGCCCCAGTAGAAACAGCTTCTCTCTACTCCTCCTGTGCAGAGTAGCAGGGGAATCCAAAGAGTTTATTGATTCAGACATGTTCCTTAATTCGTGCCATATCTGTAGAGGCCTGACGGCCATTAGCCATCTGCTATGAGCGGTGATGCCTGCACAGACTTATCTGCATTTCTTTATGATCTGTCATGTTGATGGGTTCAGATGCTTTTTGTGTATGTGCACATTTTTTCAAAGGGTTCGTAGCCAGTATATTCCTGTCTTGCTTACCAGAGGCAGGGAGGGAGTTCTACCTTCTTTTAAGAGCTAGCAAATGGGATCCACATTTAACCTGAGTGCCTTTGAATACATATTAAGGTTTATATCTAACAAAAGGATCATAACTCTATGCATCTCAGTGGGAATAATGCGGATTTCTGTTGGAGAGATTTTGTGAATAGATGAGGACAACTTGGGTCAGACATCAGTGAGAGCTATCTGCAAAGTAGGGAGCCAGGTTGAACTTTTGGCTACGTTATTGAATTCCTGAGGTATCAGATAAGTAAGAATTGCAGACATACTGTATTTTCCCACTTGTTTGTTGAGGCACAGAGCAGCATCTGCATGAATGAGGAGAAACCTCCACTAAGGAGAGCTCCAGGATGCAGCCATCCTTGCAGGTGACAGTACGGTGCAGCCTGCTGCCTGTCCCTGGGAGTGTGCCTGCCCAGGAGAGCACAGCAGGGAGCGCAAGGCAGGTGATCACTGCGAGATCTGGGTTTGTTCCTGTACGTGGTGAAGGAGCTGTTCTTGCTGCACAGTTTCTCCAGGCAACCTCATGGTTAAAGATGCATAAACAATATGCATTTGCCTTGCTTGCATAATTCCTAGGGGATTAACATGCCCCAGTAGAAACAGCTTCTCTCTACTCCTCCTGTGCAGAGTAGCAGGGGAATCCAAAGAGTTTATTGATTCAGACATGTTCCTTAATTCGTGCCATATCTGTAGAGGCCTGACGGCCATTAGCCATCTGCTATGAGCGGTGATGCCTGCACAGACTTATCTGCATTTCTTTATGATCTGTCATGTTGATGGGTTCAGATGCTTTTTGTGTATGTGCACATTTTTTCAAAGGGTTCGTAGCCAGTATATTCCTGTCTTGCTTACCAGAGGCAGGGAGGGAGTTCTACCTTCTTTTAAGAGCTAGCAAATGGGATCCACATTTAACCTGAGTACCTTTGAATACATATTAAGGTTTATATCTAACAAAAGGATCATAACTCTATGCATCTCAGTGGGAATAATGCGGATTTCTGTTGGAGAGATTTTGTGAATAGATGAGGACAACTTGGGTCAGACATCAGTGAGAGCTATCTGCAAAGTAGGGAGCCAGGTTGAACTTTTGGCTACGTTATTGAGTTCCTCTTCTGGCATCTGATAATTTTTTTTGTGGGAGAGAAACTCAGGAAAGACAATTAGTAAAAAAATCTGCTGCTTTGCCAAAAAAGAGACTCTCCTGCAGTCTCAGGTAAAACACCAGCTTGAGAGAAGCTAGAACTGCACATATCACACCTATGTTTAGTCTCTCAAAAACCATTACTCATGTGAAAGCCGTGCAGCACTGTTTATCATCCCTCACCCTTGGCAGTGATGCTGGGGCAGTGTCTGCAGTGAACTGGGCATCCAGTTTCTGCTCGGCAGAGGTTTCAGTACGTTGCCTCACGTTCTAGCACTGCCCTGGATATTTAATGGCAGATTCTGGGGAATAACATACCCTGTGTTATGATGTTTCGGTTCAGTGGGATTGTATGCAATGGAGACTCGAGGGAGGTTTGGCCGGTGAAGCGGCTGTCAGCCACATCCTGCTGTGGGCTACCTTCGGGAGGGCTGTTAGTGCTAACGCAGCCTTTCTGGGGTTGCTTGGGGGATCTTGGCGCTGAGAGCGTGCGTACCCCACTGCGGCAGGAGCCGGCTCTGCAGCACCGCTTGGCGCCTGGATGAGCCGGGCACCTGGGAGCCTCCAGCTCTGCCGAGGCCTTCAGTGTCAGTCCTGGGAACGTTTCTGCACCCAAATCGTGTGGAAAGCTTTGTTCATTGTTTTAGTATTATTTAAAAATGTGCATACTCTCTATGTGATTTGAAAACAGACTGTTTACACAAAATATTTTGTATCTTAAGATGTGTGTACTGTAAAAAGAAAAAAAAAAAAGAAAGGATGAAAAGCGATGTTTTTCTACAACTGTCAGCAGTGACTGCATGTCTGTATCATCATCCACTGACCGTTGTTCCTCAGGGGTCTCCCCGCCATTCCTGTGATCCTGTTAAAAGCATAGGGAAGCAAGTGAATCCCTGTACAGTCTTGGGAAGAAGGTTTTGTGCCTTAAGAATGGGACCTGCTTCCCTCCTATTTATTGTGTTAATTTATACAGTGATTACCATGGAAATGTCTCTTGTATTTTTTTTGTACATAGTTTACTGTTGATTGTTGTAAATAAGTTTTTCTTGTATATAAAGTAAACATGTTTCTGAGCTTCCAGTAAAGATTCTCTGTTACTGATTTCCTTGTGTGAGAGGGCTGCAGTGCCCGTCTGGTGGGAACCAGCTAATAAAAATCTGTGCTGTGATAAAATGAGTTGCATTGGAAGTTCAGAGCTGTTCCTTACAGAGGAGTGAAATGGTAAATGTGATTGTTGTAGATCAGTTTTGTAGCATTTCTTTGCATTGGTTTAATTGACATAGAGTAGAAGACATCATATAGTTTATTTTTATTAGCTGTATCTCTGCAGTGAACAAAAGATGTTTTAAACCTGCTGGTTCTACTGCTGCTTGTCCTGATCCATAGCTCCACTGTCTGCAAACCCACAGCTAGATGGGAAGATGCTCACAGAAACTCAGCAGGTTGTTTGTTAGTTACCTCTCACTGGGTGCTGTGGTGTGACCACATCTTCCTGGTCACGGTGGTGTAGTGCCGTGATGAGAGACAGAGGAAGTTCTTTCTCTACTCCACTTGGTCCTCTGTGCCATTTATTGCAGGCAGTATATATTGTAACTGGAATAAGTGAAAGTGCATTTACAAAAATGTGGGAGAAATCAATTTTCTCATGTAATGCAAACTTGAAGCTAAAAGATTTGGAGATGTTTGGGCAAGCAGATCATGGATCAGACTGTGATGAGCTTTCTCTTCTATCTGTACAGATTGATGCATTTGTAAGATGCTGACAAGAAACTTTCAGCACATCAATTTAAACTGTGAGGATGGTTGTAGAGTTCCATAGTAACTGTTGCAAAGTAAATGGAAAGTAACTTAGAATGTTTGTGAATATCTTCAATGTGAAAAAGGCCTTTGTACTTGATCGTTAAACTTGAATTGCTTCGTATGGAAAGAACAGTTTATGTGATGGGAACATAAGAAATCCTAGTAATGTTATATACTGTTGCAAGAGAAATGGTGAAATTGATCATTAAATTGTTGGTTACCTAGTCCTAGTAATAAGGAGAGAAGAAAAATTAGTGCTTTTGCTCATACACACACCCCGAACCTGAGTGCTGGGCTCTGCATTAAGTAGCGCTACTGAAATGCAGAGAAAGCAGCAGTAGAGAGACAGAAGATATGCTTACTCCTCTGATGCAGGTAATTTGTTTTGGTCTTTTTTTTATTCATGTGGCAGAGGCCAATAGCAAGAAACTCTCCACCCAGCTCAGTTTATCACTACTGGGATATCAGACCTGCTCAGGGCTGCCTTCCTCTTGGTTTGATTGATAATTATCTAATGAATTCTTAGGAGGACGGAGTGGATTTGGAGACGTGTGCTGTAAAGACCTTGCAAAATACCAATGGGTTTTTTTTAAAAAAATGTATTTTGCTGCTATTGCCATTATCCTATGTGGTGTTGGCTTGGGTTTTTTAATGTGTTTGGTTTTTTTAATACAGTGTAAAGCGTCAGGAGAGCTAAGGAGAAGTTGAGGAAATCTCCCACTGAATGGGCAGCACTGGAAATGAACAGGTTTAGAAGAAGCCCTGTCATTCCTTACCTGTAAAGCAGCTTCAGAGCCATAAGGTAAATCCTTTGTTTGGCTGCTGTGCCTGGTTGGGATGAATAACTGTGCACCCACCAGCTGGCTCTTGAGCACCTTGAGATGTTTGATTCTCACCTGGGCAGAATGAAGAGATTCCAAGACCACGGAAAGTGACATTTTGTGTTAATGTCAGCTAAAAGATACACAGCAGTTCTCTAGCAACTTCTTTCTGAAGTTCCAGCATTTTGCTGGCTTACCAAGTGACCTGGAAGGTACAAGTTTTTGTTTTCACAGCAAAGGAAGAGGTAGAGGAGTTTGCATATGACCTAAAAGACACACCACTTTTGTTGACTTCGGGGTAAAATACAAGTCAGAAAAGCATATAGCTTTTCATAAGGGCAACAAGGAAGGGGACAATTTCTGGGTTCTTGTCTTTTATGAGCAGGTTGGCAGACGGGCTGTATTGGAAACAGGAGTTGGAGCATTCACAGCAGCAGTCCCCGGCAGCCTGCTGAGGACACGCTCTGAGCTGCCACAGGCTGCCCACAGAGAGATGTTTCTGTTCTCATGGGTGAGCAGTGCAAAACTGGCCTCCAAGGACCTTTTTTTTTAAGAAGCGTAGCCCAAGGAGACTAATACTTCAGCTTGGTGCCCTAGGGAAGCAAGAGTATGGTTTGTCTGGTGCCACGTGTATCAGCCTGTCTTAACCCTTTTAATGCCTGTTTGGAACTTACTGTCTCAGGTGGTTCACGGGGCTCACAGAACATTACATTTCTACAAGTCTTGCAAGAAATTAGTACCCAGGATGAGAGGGGGACCTTGGTAGTGCTCTAGCAGGAAGAGGCTCCATTGTGCATATAGGAAGTAGGCTTAGTTCTTTTATTGCTCAGTGAATTATTCAGATTTGTTTCAAATTAAAAGCTGTTATGGTGAGGTAGGAAGAACTGATGGATGCAACATGAGATTGATTGCTGAAAAGCTGTGGGGTTTGAGGCCTTGTAGCTCTGCTGCCTCAGTTCCCCTGTCTATCAAAAGTTACATCTGCCTAAATTTATGGAAAATTACAGTTTAAATTATAATTTCAATTTAGAAAAATTCAAGAGGAGTGATTCATCATTCCTGGCTAAGAAGCTAAAGGCAGAGAACACATTTGAGAGTTTTCCAGAAGCTTTCCTGTAGAAGAGGCAAAACCAAAGCATTTGATGTTTTTATACACAGGGGAAAAAAGAACAAAGTGCACAGTCTGGTGTGTTCAGGATATCTTTAAGCTGTGAAATTTGAAAGATCATCCATGATACTTTCTTACTTCAGGGAGGTGATTTCATTTGATTATTAATACCTGTTCATAACATACTGTGAATCAGAACTCTCCAAAGTGTTAATTCAAATGACGTGGAGCCTCTGTTTTGCCAATCTTTCGTGAAGTTTTTCTGTTTTCTCCTCTTTACCCTCTTCTAGACCTCCTCAGAAAAATCACTATTAATGAAGGTGAACTAGAAAGTAGTGAGCCCAACACTGTAATTGTTTAGATTGAAATGGTTCCCTGGCATGCAAAGCTGGGCAGATCTTGAAGTATCCTAGAACATATTTTCTTCAGTCCCCTGCACCTGGGGATTATCGTTACCTGAGAGCCTAAGCACTGGCTTTGAAAGTGTGTATTTCTGCACTGCAGTAGCAAGAGAAATGGGAAAGCAAGAATATAAAGCCCCCAAAACACAAGGGTTGATGTAGAACTAAGTTCATTCTTTGTGCATATAGGTATAGGTTTAGTTTTTTAGGAGGCTGACATACTGGTTTAGATGTTTGAGGTTGGCAGTTGATGTGCGTGTCCTAAATTTCCAATTGATACCAAATCTTAGAGACAAAAGTATATTCAAAACCATGTAATCTATATGGTAGTGAAGTGCTATTTCTAGATAGCCGGGGCAGCTACAAATGTTGTGAGTAATACATGGTATACATGGTACTACACTTGTTTCTTTTTAGATTTCCTATTTTATGTTTCCTGTCTTCAGGTGTGTTTCGTAAACTTTATTTTCAGCAAAAATCTGTTACCATTATCGTCAGCTGAAATTTTCTTGCTGAATGGCTGAATTGAGGATAAAGAATATATCAGCAGTGTTTTGCAGTGCACACATCTTCCTCAACTGTGATTTTGGATGCCGCAATCTTTTTTTTTTTTTTTTAGCCCAAGTCCCAGACTGATGAACTTTGAAACCTTTGTTTAAAGAGAGCTTGTTTTCAGGAAAGTCCATGGTCAAGTTTGTAAGGGAAAAAGAAAAAAAAGTTTTGTAAGAAGTCAGAACTCCCCTAAAAAGTGTTACTGGACATGAGCCGAGATCCTGGGGGGCGGCCCACCTTTTCCTGGCACCCAGTGGCACTTTCCCCGATGAAGGACCCCAAGGACACACAGTTGCAGAGGTAATTCGCATGAAGGTATCACACGCTGTACAGCTCTCAGAGGTGTTGCTGCACAAACTGCTTTCCGAGAAGGGGGACGTGTTGGTTCGTACCATCTCTGATGCAGAAAAACTTCTGAAAAGGATTGTATTTTTTCTCTAAAATGTTTAAAATTCAATAGAAGATTTTGCGTTGATGAGAGCTAATCCAGTACACCAAAAGATGCAGCATGCTGGTACAAGCTTCTTGCCCTGGCAGCAGGCAGCTGATGGGGCAGGCACAGCCTGCTGGTGGCTGTAAGGGGGCTTAGTTGCCTTGGCTGTTTTGTGGTGGAACCTTCGATGAGAAAGTAAAGTGGGAGGGCTCTTAAAAATAGTAATGTGTGTCCCTTTTGGGTGATTGCATGCTGTGAGAAGGTGGGAGGATCTCTCAAGAGATCTCAGCACTGGGTGGTTACACTTACAAACTAAGTATAACCATTTCTACTTGCCAGAGAATCAAAAGAGAAAAAAAAAAAAAAAAAAGGCAGAGTGGATGCCCCAACTGTTTCACTTTTCTCCTGCATGCGGGTAAATTGTCAAGCTTCCCCTGAGCACTGTTTGCTTAATGACTAAAAAAGAAAGCACTTCATGTCACTCCAAAGAGTAAATATCTGAAGTTATGGATTAACTAAGTTCCAGCAGAGCTCATGGTGGAAGAATAGATCACGCTGATTCACACTGAATAAAGCAGTAAGTGCTTCTAAAGTATTGTATTATTCAGGATTTCAAAGTACAGCTTGCTTTAATGAAGCATAAAGCTTGTCAAAAATGTCCGGTGACAAGGGGAGGATGGCAGGGCAGACAAGAAGTGTTCTGGGAGAGCTGATGATGGGTTAAAAGGAACTAGCAAACCTGTCTGGAGGGCCTCTAATGAATGGCTGCTTTGGGGCTGGAATCAGAGAAAGTCAGGACACAACACAGCATTCAGTGAGGGAGCTGCTCTGAGGAAAACAAATTAAAGGAGCTAGCTGATCTGTCTGAATAGAAACTAACTGCAGCACGGGGGTCATGCCACAGCTCAGCAGTGCGCTCCCCTTCACACCTGCCTTCTCTTCTTTAGGTGACTCCTGCTGCACTATGTGGAAGCTCGTCACCATAGGGGTGCTGCTGGCTGCCTGCTCTTCACGAGTCTGTAGTACCTCAAGTAAGTTTTCATTTTAGAAATGCTCTTCACCCTTTTGCAATCACTACAGATGCATTTCCTGCTCCTCTGTCAGTCACAGGGAGTGGCTGGAATCGTTCCCATCGGGGGGGTTTAATTCATCTAGCAGAGGCTGACAGACACAGTGCTGGGCCACGACGGCTGCCTTGGCTGCAGCCCTCATGAGCCCTGCGAGCTGTCCGAGTACCCCAGAGCAGAGGCTGGACCTTGCTTCTGCAGCACGGCACTGACAGCCCATCCTGGGGCAGGCTCTCTTGCTGTGCTAGACAGGGGCTATTGCTCTGGTAAGTGTCCTTCGGGAAGGACCACCACCAGTTTTCAGCCAGGTCTTTTCCTTCCCTGTGGTTTCACATTTTTGCTTCCAGTATTTTACAGTGATAAAGATGCAAACCAAGTCCTGAAAATTCAGAAGCGAGCAAACTCTTTTCTGGAGGAGCTCAAACCGGGCTCTCTGGAGCGTGAGTGCAATGAAGAGAAGTGTGACTTTGAGGAGGCCAGTGAGATATTTGAAACCAGGGAAAGAACAGTAAGTTGTTTTTTTAAGGATGAATGTGGGACTCAACCATTTTCTGAAAGTATTGCAGTCCCAGGCATAGGAGATCTTGCTGTCAGCACTGAACATGCAGCACTCCTGACTCCTGAAGTGTAGGCATGGTTTTGGATGTAATTTTGTACAGTGATTGTCGTTACCACCTGTATAGGCCACAAAACTTGGCTGCTCATGCATGCCCCAGGAAGCCTAACTGTGGGGTTTCGATCCCGGTCGAGTAATCCCAATCCTTGCTTGACCCTATTGGCTATTCCTGCTGCCATGGGGTTTTTTGCAGTTCTTCCAGTCCTTTGCCCTCTGTTGTCCATTTGCCAGCCCTGGCTGCCTTTTGCTGTATTCCCAGGTCTCCCACCTGTGCCTGACAAACATTTCTCTCATCGGTAGGTTCTCTGTCCTTCTCCAAACCTCGTATTTTCAATTGGACAGTACTTTTATTGTCAACATCACTGATTACTGCCCCTTCCTACACCCAGTCATTGTGTTGGTTTGGACTTTTGCTTGCCCTGTTAAGCAGAGTAGGCTTGCCAGATAGGATGAACCAGTCCTTGCTGTCCCTCAGACCCCAGAGTGGAGTGGGGTCTGCCTTCACAATGCCCACGTCTTGTCTAACTGGGCACAGATTAACTGCACTCAGTAACACAGGTCACCTACCTGGCAGTAAGTGACAAGAAAACAGAGAAGCTGTAGGGATGTTGGGGGGTTGTGGTGCTGGGGGATGTTCAAGCAGAGCAGGGGATCTGTGCTGAGTATGGGCAATACATGAACATCCAGGTTGGCCAGTTTTGTTGGTTTGTAGTACCAGTCATTATACTGTCAAGAAAAATGAGACTGATGCTGTTGACTGGAGTTCTGTGCTCTGTTGTCCAAGACCATCGTACACTTTATATCCCTCACTTGTTAAAAGGCACTTCTAGTCTTAATTTAAGTTTTGTTTTTCCACAGCTAGATTTTTGGACCAAGTATGTAGGTAAGTAAAAGACTTTCCTAATCGCTCCTCTTTGTTCTCTCAAGCGTAACTCGCATTTAGCCTTCATGTTGCCATGTATCACATACTCATTCTCTCTTAAATGGGTTGTGCAAAGAATGTTTTCCTGTTCTATCATACGAACAACCTTCCTAAAAAACTTGAAGTGCATCTGTGCCAATCATCAGTTATGTCCCCACAGCTAAGGCACTGGTCAAAAGTGCTTTCTGATGATCTAACCCTGCCTGACATGGTCCGAAGAGGAGCCCCATGCCTGCTCTTCACTTCCACCTCTGTCCTGTCTGCATCAGGTTTTTCTCTTTCTTCCCCTTCTGCCCTCTCCACTCACTCTACAGCTATCATTCAGAACCCAAACAAATACCCCTGTCTGTGGGCCAGCACCATGGAGGTGTCATGGATCAGTGGCAAAAACCATGAATGATGCTTGGGAATCTGGGGAGGGTTTGTTCGTCTTAATGTTCAATCTGTGAGCTCTGTATGATTCAGGGACTGAGTTTTTCTGTCTCTGTTTTAGATGGAGATCAGTGTGACACACAGCCTTGTTCCAATGGGATCTGCAAGGACAATATTGGAGAATTTTCCTGCATCTGTAACAAAGGCTGGGAGGGGGCGTTGTGCAATTATGGTAATGCTCCACTATCAAGTAACATTCTTTGTGACAGGGATCTCTGTGTAATAGGGATCGATACTTTTGTCATTCCACAGTATATTACTTTCTTTACTAATGTGATTTCTCTTTTGCTTCATGATGTGGTAAAAGGATTATCTGCATTATTTGTGTTGCCATGGGAGAGTTTTGAAGATCTGAGATGTCTAAATCTTACAAAAATACTGGAAATAATTCTGTAAAGTGGAGTTTTCAGTTACTTTAGAACTGTCTGCACAGGGATGATGGTGGATTTTTTTGCAGTACAGGGGAAAAGACAATCCACTGCAAATATTTGATTGTCATTACTGTGACAGTTTCTTCCTGGGACAAAAGCTGGATAGCATATTTAGGGATGAATTGTCTGACTTGCACTGTGAGTGAATTTTCTGTTCTCCAGTCTACCTGCCCTAACAGTAATCTCTATTTTCTCCAGATCCCCACTGCCTTACTCTAAACCAAGGACTGTTTGCTGTCTCAGGGCCTGAGTGCCATTAAAGTCCAAAACTGTCATCCCAAATCCTTTGTCAGCTGTTGCTCACTTGAATCACAATGTAATTTTGCCACTTCATCTTCCTGTGGCTCTTTGGCTTTCCAACTTCTCATGTCTCTCTTGCTGTTCATTTTTTCCGCAGAGGTGAAATACACCAACTGTTCTGTCAATAATGGTGGATGTGAACATTTCTGTAGGGATGACCCTGCCAAGCAGTACCGCTCTTGCAGCTGTGCCTCTGGGTATCAGCTGATGAGTGACCATACCATGTGCAAGCCTGTAGGTAAGAGGAGGATGTTAGTAGTTCTGATTTGAAAGAGGATTATTCAAACGTGAAGTAGGAGGGTTTTATGGGAGAATTGTCTGCAGTGTGCTTTGTACTGGTTCTCAAAACGTCCATTTCATGCACAGTAACTGTACCTGCATTTCCCAAATCCATACCCGCTTTATGGCCTTTAACCTGTGTTTGCCTCACGGAGACAGGAAACCACTTCCTCTGCAAAGCACTGAGGGATTTCCATGAAGCCACTGAATAGTATTGCCTGGATTAGAGAGATGGAGGGGATGCTTTAGAAAAACATTGTGTACTGGGTGCTCTGGTCTTTGCTAGTTAACTGCTCTGCATCTCTGTAGTGGAGTTCCCTTGCGGAAGAGTGAAAATGGACTACATTGAACCCAAAGCAGGATTCAATATTCGGCTCATCGAAGGAAAAGTAGGAAGAAGGGGAGACAGCCCTTGGCAGGTAAGAAGAAAAGATTTTTTCACCACAAATAGTTCAGGCTTTTCCCAAACAGCTCTGCCTGCCCAGCTGCTCCAGAAAGGCTCCTACATTACTAGGGGTAGTGTCACGTGAAGCTAAGATTACCTTAGCTTAGCTTTTTCAAAGCAACCTAAAAGTTGGAGTAACAGGAAAAAATAGGACTCTTCACCTTGTCACTGCTACCAAGTTTTTTACCTTACCTTGCCAACAATGTCAAGAGAGAGGACAGTGGTGACTCTCTTGCTCCATTCTGGGGAAGGCCACTTAGTCACTGCAGCTCATGCTGTGTGCTCCAGCTACTCTGACAGCCTTATGGTGGGAGTGTGAGGTAATCTTCTCCCCTTTCTGCATGGATCTGCTCTTACAAGCCTCATATGTCATAAATTCAAGTGAGCAGATTTAATCAGCAAAATATGCTGTAGCTTTACAGAGCAGGTTGGGACATCACAGGGAAAGGAGAGACCTCACAGAGCTTATCATGGAACTAGTGAATGCATATAATCAGGGCCTGGTTCTCTTTGTCATTAAAGGCCCTTTTACACCAAAGCATGAGAATTGCAGCCTGAGATGACACACTGTCTCTGGTGTGCTATGGACACAAGAACCCCCTCATTTGAAGGAGGGTATTTCAAAGTTTTGAACTACCAAAGTGCTTCTTCGCAGTGACCAACATCATCCCACGCTGATGTGGATGAAGCCAGCCCTCATTCAGGAAGAATATTCAAAACTTTTTTGTAGATGTTCCACAGAGTCTTTATTCATGCTGATTTTGTCCCACTGTAGAGCTTTGGCTTCAATGAATGTGACATGCTTTGGTGCTTGATGCATCTGGGCATTTTGCAACCACAAAGAAGAATGTGTACAATACTTTGTGAACCATGTTCCATCCATGCAGTGTCAGACCTCTCTTTTTTTGTTTCAGATTATGCTGCAAAATATCAAAGGGAGATTTCTGTGTGGGGGTGTTCTCATCCATCCATCTTGGGTCCTAACGGCAGCACACTGCACTGAGGCACAAGAGGGGATCAAAGTAAGACTCGGTATGGAAAAAAAAACCCTGTCCCTGTTTTTCTAAATATAACTTTCATTCCCAAGGTTTATCATCTTAGGAGAAAGACTAGCATGTTATGAAGACAAAAGTCCTTGGCTGTAGGAGTAGGTTGTCTAGGAAATGTTTAATATGCACCTTAGCACAAAATAAAAAAGTTTGGTAAAAGTCTTAATTTAACTTGAGCCACTATCAACCTTACTGTGGAGGTGAGCTGATGTCTTCTGAGCACAGGTGATTGTCTATAAAGTAGAAAGACTTGGTCCCTTCTGCTGGTGTTTTTCTGGTGATGCAAATATTCAGGGTCATCCCAATACCCCCCAAAAAGTCCTGATCCCAGGAGGAGAATGTCACAGTCCCTCTTTCTGCCTTTTCATACATTTGAACACCACTATTTAAGAGACTTTCAGTAGAGAAGGAGGGGTGGTGCTGCAGAATGGCACCACTGCCTTTACTGGCACTGCTGCTCTTAAGCATGAGAAAATCTGTCAAGTACAGTACTGCTCCTGCATTAACAGGCAACAATAATTAGTGTTCTTTTCACACTTAAGTAGATTTTTGTGTGTGTGTGTGTGATTATGTTTTCTATCCACCATTGGTGACAGAAGCATAAGAGCTCAACTTTCTTTCTCTGTTAGTGAAAAGATAGGTTGTTCCGACTATTTGTGGAAACTTGCAAATATATTGTCTGTAGACATAGCCTTGGAAATATATTGTCTGTATGTGTGTTCCATATACACTGTGGATGCACATATGTTTGAGAACAGAGACAATAAGGCACATACAGAAGGATGTGTTTATATACATCCTCCGTTGTTCAACATAAAGGAAGAATTTAAAAGCCTTGGGTCCTCTTAGTGCCAGAATATCCACCTTTTCCACAGAGGGACATCAGAGTAGAAGTGCCTGTGGTAGTTTGGAAATTGTATACAAACTACTTATCTCCAAGCACTTCCACTAGCTAGCAAGTAATCTTCCCTTTTAAGTGATTGCCAACATGTCTATTTTGTTTTAGTGGGGTCCAAGAAGAAGAAACCTGTGCAGTTTGCTCGGTGAAGGATCTTGGAATGTTTTAGGGGACAAGCAACTGTCAGATGTGGTGTCTGAATGCTCTTCAGTGCTAGATGTAGCTTTGAGTGTAACTTGAAGATAGGTGAGCAGGGGAAATGGTAACTAGGGGAAGTATTGAGGCTGCACTTAAATTACTAAATTTAATGGTAACTAGGGGAAGTATTGAGGCTGCACTTAAATTACACTCTGGCCTTGTACTGCAGGGCTTGGTAGAGACCTGTGCAGTCTGACGAGCTTTCAGCTGGGATAGCCGTGCCCAGAGGTCTCTGCAGCAAAGAAAGAAGGGGTGGGATCTGTCAAGAGAGTCCCGTGCTGTCCAAATAAAAAGTGCTTTTCTGTGGGTGAAGAAAAGTGTCAGCACTTGAGAACCCTGATTTGAGAAGATATTTTTTTTTGGCTGAAATGACAACTTGCACATAGATTTGGGGTGAGTATGCAGAGTAATTTATAGTGTAAGGGTGATCAGCAATAGAGGCTCAAATTTCTCTCACTCTCCTAGCTGCCCAAAAGACCTTCCTTATTAACAGAGGAGGAAGCAAGTGTGTGGTCATGGACTGAGAGTTGTGATGCCTGAGATGAGAACGCTTCTCATTCAGCCTTGAGCAATAGTGCTGTGGTGAGATGGAAAGGAAAGAAGGGTCCTTTACTGTGGTATGGGGGTTTGTGTGCAGGACTGAGGTGACTTCAGCAAGAGAAAGGAGATTCTTCTTCAAATGATACTCCAGGTCAAGCAGAAGAGAACCTTTTTAAAATCCAGCTAACATCACATGGTTGTCCTTCTACATGGTGGTGTTCATACTGTGACTGCAGAGGTGATATGCAACCTGCCTCTCTGAGGCTGGGACACCAGCGCTGCTCCGGACTCGTCCCGCTGCAGCTCTTTGTTTGCCACGCACAACAGCAAAACTGGAGGGGAAGCTCACATCTGGGTTTGCACCTGTGAGCTAAGAGAGTAGTCTTGTAGCAGGACTCGTGTGGATTTTTAGTGTCTGAAGTGAAAAGTTAGATCTCGGAGTAGCTGAAGTTTTGGAAGATGGATTTGAGAACAGCCCAGTTTTTCTCTTAGTTGCTCTTGCTCCCACATCTCCAGCTTGAGAGCATCCAGAAGTGTGTTCAGAGCTCCAAGAAAATAGAGCAGATAGGTGAATGTAATGATTCAATTCAAAACACTGTCTCTCCCTTCAGAGAACAGGTCTCACACTTCCTTGTTTATGTAGAACTTCATAGTTATTATTTTTCTGCCAGCAACCAGATTATGATGCTCCTTATTGTGTAGAAGGAACTAGATGTATTTCACACAGTCTCTAGCTTCAGTACATCCAGGTGTGGGTAGGACTTCTGGACTTTGAAACTGTTGAACCAGATAACTCAACTGAGAAAGGAAGTATTCACAACCAGAAGACAGAAGGGTCTTCTCCCGAGCTGGGGCAGGAGGAGCTGTCACCACAGTAGTACCATGCAGAAGTTGTTACCTGCTTGTTCATAGGTGTCTCGGGATACAGGCGGTTCGTGGCCATGCTTGTGTGCAGAGCATGGGAAGCCTAGCAGAGTGTGCTGCTACACAACTGAACTGCCTTCCTTGGAGGGGATGATCTGACCGTGTTTGAGTCCAGAGTTATTTCTGAGGCCTAAAGCAGTTTTGTATCTGTGAAGATAGGAATACACCCCTGCCCCTTATCTGCCAGTCAGCTCCCAGCCACAGAGTGGGTGGCAAGCAAATGTGGTCCAAAGGTGCTACAGACACTGTTACCACAAAGAAGAGAGGTCGTGATAGCAGAAAAAACAGATCTGTGAGTGTTGGCTTGACAATAGCAAGTCCTTCAGGCTCTGATATTAATTACAGGTGCACATCAGAGCAGTTTCAGCCATCTGCTGTCTGCTGTGGCCATGTATGAAGTGTCCATTGGCTGGTGGCAGAGGAGCAAGAGGAGAGACTCAGCAATAATTGGTCTGGAAGTCCAAGATCCAAAGCCGGACATAAGGGGTCTTTTGAAAATCTATTTCTGGAACTACTGTGGATCATAAAGTCCCTGTGTTTGAAGGGCACTCACTCTTTGCATAAAACCCCCAAGCAGCTGCAATACCTCGTTGACAGGTTCAAGCACAGGGGAGCTTCCACTGAAGGAAGTGACTTCAGAAGACCTTGGTCATGCAAACTGAGAGCAACTTGGCTTTAGAGTTTGTATCTGGAGGGATTCAAATAAGGCTGAAAGAAGGCAAAAGTTAAAAAAAGGGGGGGGAACAAATTTGAAGGGTGGTATTGTGAAGCACACATTTGAAAAGATGGTGATAAAGAGCAACTTCCAACACACACACAGACCAAAAAGGAAAGGACGCTTCTGTCACAGATATGCAGCATGGGCAGAGGTGAGGTGTCAGCCCGGATGTCCTGTCACCTCGTGTGCTTGGATGTGTGCCTGCCTGCAGCTCGAATGCACATAACGGACAGTTCTCCAAAGAAGCGTTTTTATCAAGCACATACCGAAGTAGGCCTTGATACGAAGCTTAAATTAACCAACAGCACAGTTCAGAAATGTGATGGTCACTGATAATTAGTCTTGGGGCTATCACTTCACATCCTATCAGAGATCTGCTTCTGTCTTCTCCAGTGTATCACAAGTGACTTGTTCTTGCCTTTCTGACTTTTCAGCTTAGTTTCCTGCTTACTGTTCCATAACTGCTTGTCCTACAAAGTGGCCATGATCACGTAGCAAAAATAACAGCCAAGAAGTCTTAAGTAGTCAGGAATTCCTTAAAATACAGATCTAAGATTTCAGAAAGGAATAGTCTTACCTTTATCTTATAAATCCTGAAGTTCAGTGTCAGGGACTGGTTATACAGCATAAAGCTCAAGGACTGTTGTAAGTGTCTGGCTTTGCTGTGTACTTGCTCTCCTAGCTTTTAGTGCTGAGTCCAAGAAGATCGTTTTCCTCCTGAAGACGACCTCTCAAGCTACACAAGAGTACTGTAATATCAACACAACAGGGCAATACACAGGCATTTCAGTTTCTCAGCTGATGACCATACCTGTAGGATACCAATTCATTTAGTATTGTGTGTATTCATGATTTAGGTAAATGTGGAAAGTTTACAGATTTGTCCATCTAGTAATGACACTGTTAACCTAGAATGTAAAATGAACAAATATCTGTATTAGAAGTAAAAATGTAAGTACAGTCCTAAAGTGCAATGTAATCCAAATGTCTTGGTGTTCAAGGTGAAGGAGGGTTCAATAGCATCTGTCATCTTCTTGTTTGTTCTTCCAGGTAAATTCCACCGTTTCCGTACTGAGCCAGACGAGCAAACCATTTGGGTTGATAAACATGTGAGCCACAAAAATTACACCAAGACAACCTCTGACAATGACATAGCCATGCTGCACTTGGCTGAGCCCGTGATATATAACAAATACGCGCTCCCCATCTGTCTTCCCACCCGCGACCTGGCAGAACAGGAGCTGACAAGAACTGGGAAGCAGATGGTGGTAACTGGCTGGGGCAGCACAACTGATGTTAAACAGAATTTCTCTACTCTCCTCAGTTATATTCAAATCCCCATGGTTCCGCGGAATGAGTGCGCTCAGGCAATGAGATCTGCTATCTCTGACAACATGCTGTGTGCTGGCAGCTTAGGAGACAGAAAAGATTCCTGCAGTGGGGACAGTGGAGGCCCTATGATCACTAAATATAAGGATACTTGGTTTTTGGTAGGACTGGTGAGCTGGGGTGAAGGCTGTGGAAGAAAGGAGAAATTTGGAGTCTACACCAAGGTTAGTCAGTATCTTGAGTGGATCCAGCACCACATAGATGAGATGTCAGCTTCTCGGAAGGGTTGATTCCAGTACTGAGTCTGGAATATTGTGGTTATGTGCTAGTGACAGTATGCAGTGTAACGTACTGTCAGATCTTCAGTATTAAATATTGAGTATATATTAACCTTGTGTACTGTTTTCCTTGGTACCTATTTTTTTTACTTTATTTTTTTCCTTTTTTACGTTGTTTATATTGGTTAGTTTCCAGGTTATGTTGTTTATTTGTAGCATGGTCCTACCTAGGCCTTACAGACAAGAAATAATACCCTGTTACACTGAGATGCTGTACAGCATTATAGAAAATAAGATAGTCCATGGTCAGGCAACTCCATCTTTGAAATGTGAAATAACTGAATTCGTTGGGGCGGGGAGCAGGGGGGGAGAGTAAAGTGCTTTAACAATCACCATAGCGATACAGTTCTGTCATTTCAGCTTTACTCTAACACATCCACAGTAACTGTTCTGGTTTGCTCTGTATTTGTATAATTTTTCTTTCAACACAATGAAATTTTAATATCATCACTGCCTATACTCATTCACACTTGCTCCAGTGCTCACAGATAAAGTTGATTCAGCAGGTCACTAGAACTTATCTGTATTTTCTATTCTTTGAACACTCAACGCCTGATTTACACACACACACACCCCCAAGACTTCATTAAAAGTCAAGGGGAATCCTGGTGTTATTTAAAAAAAAAAAAAATGGAGTTTAATTCCAACATTTTGCATGCTCTATTTATCCTAAAGTCTGTAAATCTCTTCTAATTAGCAAGCTAAGCAAACACTTGTTCATTCCTATTCTAGTGAATGCAATCAGCTGCAGGCTGCATTAGCGTTACTAATACTTGCTGTTAAGTATTTGTGTGTGTCTGCATCTGTATCTGTCTGTCTGTGTGCATATCAGTAAATAAAGATGAATGGCACTAGTAAGTTTGTAGAAAGTAGCAGTAGTCAAAATTAAGTTTAATATCACAATTTATACATGTTTTTAATATTAGCATTTAGGTCTGCTAAATATAATTAATTTTGTAGGGGAAAAAAAATGAAACTACCTCTGCTGTGGTGATATATGTTTCCATCACCTCAATCAGGATTTGGACCCATAATTGGGTCAGTGAAGAACTTCAGTCTGCTCTTGTGATGAGATTGTTAAACCAAAAAAACCCCTCAGGTACAACAGTTATATTGGGATTATATTAGGATCTGTAAGAAATTTAGTATGGTGACAGCAAAGAGGTTTAATACTTCTTAAACTTGTGGGCTTAGTCTTGACGTATAAGCTGTTTACATGCTTATTAAGCAAGTGCTGAATTTGATTCATGCATTAAAGAAGTAACATTCAGGTGAAGGGTTTTATGTTGGAGGTGAGCTGAAACTGGAGAGTAGAGTCAGCAATCTCTTGTCGCTGTATCTCTTTTTCTCCTCTCCCCTTTTTTATTTGGGACTGGATTTAAGGATCAACAAACATTAAAGAACAGTGCTTGAACAGCAGCCTTCCAGCCAGGGCCTGCACGAAGAATTTGTGCTGCTGAGAAGGCTGACATGGCTACTCATTGAGTTACAAGGAGAAACATTATTGTGTTCAAAGCCAATAAAACATGGGTCTAATTCAAGGCAGAAATCATAATGTCAGTGAATAGCTGTGACTATTACAGGGCAATATTTGCCTTCCTGCAGGTGACTGCTATGAATCCTCCTACACACTGAGAGCTCTGCGCATTTCAACAGATGTTTACTGAGAGCTTGTGTATTTTCCAGATCAATTGGTCTTACCTACTAAAAGATGGAGGGTCAGAAATCTCTTTAAAATTCCAGATTTTCTTGAAGAAATCTGACGCAAAGAAGTGGCTTTAATTGTTGGAAGGTATTTTTAAGGACTTTTTTTTTTTTTTCTTAATCCACACGTGTATGTGTGTGGAAACACACACACAATTTTCTTCTGATTTTGGGTTTCAGATGTGTTTCACAGAATCCAGAAGGTTGTCTCTCCTCTGTCAATATTTGTGACTGGTTAATGATTAACCTTTTGACCTCATGGCTGTTCCTGGTGTACATCCAAATCTCTCTCCTGTCTTCCCCTAAAAAAAATTAAAAAGTGAATATAATTGCATGGTTCTGTGTAAAGTGAATGCATTCTGGATCCTCTGATTTTGGAAAAAGCGAAGAGGTATGTGTTGTCAAATCCTAGTAAATTATTTAGCCTGGGAAGGTAATATGAAGAAATACAAACTTCTGTCTTGTAACCTTTATTGCCAGGTATGTGGTGGATGGTTTCCTTGTTGGGCTTTGTGCATACGGTCTTACTTGACAAGATTACCCAGCAGCTGCCGTCCTTAGAACCTGCTGGCTGAAGTGTTCAGCCCAGCCCTCAGCCTGGGATCCTCCGTGGTTTAAACAAGGCTGTCGCTGGAACTGGCTTCTGCTCGGTTTGGGCCAGATCCACGCCTCCCGTGCTCACCGTAGCCTTTTTTTATTACACCTGTGGGCTTTGGATCAGACCCTGCACCACATCCTGGCTAGGTCAATCTCTGCATGTTGCCTTGTGAACTGTTGGGATTCCTGTTACAGTGTGCAGCATCGGCGTGGCTTGGAGAAACAGCGGACATCAGGTCAAAATGAACTGGGTAGAATTTGCTTTCTTTGTCCCTTCTCTTGTCCTCTTCCTGCTACTTCTTCATCTTTTTTTGTGGGCTAATTCACACTTGTTGTTTTATGTGACAATATACCAATTTAATTCTTTTCCCTCTGAAGGAAAACAGTAGGAAGTCAGAGTATTCTGAATGCTCACTCAAATGGAGAGCAGTTCCTCACTTGTGATGTTTCTCCTACTGATGTGCTCCATCAACAGCAGCTGCCCATTTTCATATTCAGGTAGGTACTTCTGAATTACATTTTTAAGGTAATTGTTTTATTGTGGCAATATTGCCATTCAAACTGAAACTATTTCCTTTTCTGAATACAAAGTCCTGTGGGTTGAAGAAGGACTTCCTGAAATGTGTAAGAAAAAAAAAAAGAATATTCATATATATGTTTCCAAGAGGAATCAGCTTTTCTTAACTTCCTACTTAGACCACTATCCTGTTGAAGAGTATTCTTGTGACATTGAACCCAAAATCTGGCAAATTTTCCAATTTGGGAAGTGAAAATTAGGCACTTTCAACATGTGTTCTTGGAACATGGTTTAGAAATGGCTTCAGAGAGCTTTAGAACAAGCGTGAGAATGTACAGGATCTCATGAACGTCCTTTCAGAGCAGGAAGAGCAGAAGTGGTATCTGCAACCAGAAGGCTTTACAACAGGCACATCCTCTACCTGGGATGCCTGCTTACAAGAGGTAAATCCTTTAAAGATGACCCCAGAACTCAAGGGGTGGTGAAGGGCAGTTTCACTGATGTAAGTGAAAGATACTTTCCCTATTACCCGGCAGTAGGATCTGTCTAAAGCTTTTCCCAGCTAAGAGTTTTTGTGGGCTGTTTCTAATTGCCTAGAAATTAAGTAATTTAATATTATTCTAGAATTTCAGTCATTGTTATAGATAGCAATCCAGCAACTGCAAAGAAATGTGTGTCTTTATGGTCTATCTCCAAAACTAGGTTCTTTGTCGGAGGGTTTTGACTTGTCCAGAACACTAAACCATGACTAGGAAAACAGAGTGCTGTTAAATGAACTGCTGTAGGAATTTTAGTAGGCTTTGTCAGCATTACAAAGTGAGCTTTCTTCTTACAACACTTCTCAGCAGCAGTTCTTCAATCTGTCAGATGGGGTTTGGATACAGGGCCATGCTTCTGGAGGTTTATCAAAAAGGCAAAAATCTCCATCTTCTCTACGTAGTGATGGCTCGTGGTACCAGTACATCCACGAGGGCTGAGTGAGGCCTCATTTTCCTTCAGAGCATGCAGGCTGGAAAATCCTGGGAACGCTGTGCTCCAGCTGGAGGTGCCATAGCAAAGCCTTGCTATGGAGCAGCAGGGGTATGTGGGGAGGACCTTACTGCCATAGTCCCTCTTCTGGCCACTCCTCCATTAGTTTATTGACAGTATTAGCTCTTAAGATATTGCAGGATGATGGCAAATAGCTTAGCGAAGCAGCAGTGTCTGACCTTTTGTGGCTACAGTAGCTTCCTGGAAAGCACTGGGTCTCCATTGCGAGTATCTAACAAAGCTGACGCCAACTACAAACCAAACGTCTCCGTTCAGCTTAATTTCCACATGCACACACAGCCAGGTAACTAATAATGTTGTGAATCAGGAAGGTTAGGCAGGAAAATACAGCCAGCCTCCAAAGAAGTTGCAATACTTAAGTCTTGTGGAATAAAAAATTGTTTCTGCACTAATCTCAGTAGTGGGTCTTCCGATCCCCTAAAAGAAAGCTTAAACTACTAGTGCCTTTTGTTGGAACACAGACTAATTTTGTTTTCCTTTAGGCTATTTATGTAGATTCCTGCTCCCCTTCTTTATATTGCTTACTCAACTGAAAGCACGCATGATGGTGATTGCAGTGGTGCCGGTTTGTTGTCTTCCATTATCAACTGTTCAATTTTGTTTTCTAGTGTTTATGAGAAAAGACAAAGCACACGAGGTCCTGAAAGTCCATAAACGTGCTAACTATTTTCTAGAAGAGATTCGCCCAGGGAACTTGGAGAGAGAATGCAATGAGGAAAAGTGTTCATTTGAGGAGGCTAAGGAGATCTTCCATTCGCAGGAGAAAACGGTGAGAAATGTTGGGAAAAACAGAGGAAGGTTAACAGTAAGGAATGGTTTGCCAGGCACCCGCATGGCTCTGGCAGGTGTGTGCCTGTGGATTGGCAGCTCAGTAGCGGGGAGGGGTCACTCAAGGCACCCCTGAGATCTCACTTTCTAAGCGAGTGCTCAGTTTGTTGTGTAAGCATTAAACACGATTCCTTAAAAGCATCCAAAACCAATTTCTGTGAGAGCCTCAATCCAGCAACATGCTTCTGACATTCTCAGAGGCTACTTGCTTGATCAGACCCCTTCAAATCCCGAGGAGAGCCTTGTTCCCAGGCCCCAATTTCTGTTGGGACCTGCAGGTATAAACAGAGTTGCCCGATTTCTGTTGTGTCTGTGCTTAGCTGATGCCTTCCTTAGCAGGTGGTGCAGCGAGTGCAGCAGAAATGGCTCTTCCCAGTGAAGCAGCTGGTGCCGAGGGCCTCGCATGGCCACGCTGTGGGGAGGAGCAAGGTGTCAATTCTTGCTCCCAGCCTGGGGCCACAGACCTTTCACTGGCTGGAGCATTTACGGATCTCAGCTTTCAGTTTAAGCTTCATCCCAGTACAATTCATTTTATGCGCTCTGTGGCTGGTCCACGATGCAAACCGAAAGTGAGCTGTATGGTGGTGATCAGGAGATCTGCTTTGAAAATGTATTTCACAGTTCTAATCAAAGTGTTAATTTACATGAATCCTAAAAAAATGTTTTTTTAAATGATACCTTCAGTAACCAGTATGACCACTTACTGTTTTCTTCATTTGTGATTTCTTCTTGCAGATGGAGTTTTGGTTCAATTACAAAAGTAGGTAAAAAATGGAATTTTTTAAAAATCAATTTCTTGTGTCCCTTCTGGGTACAAAGAATTATGTGGCAGTTTAAAGCCAGGCTTCTCTTAATTTCTGGAATGACACTATGCCTTGTTTCTTCTTCTTAGATTTAAATCCATGTAGTACAAATCCCTGTAACAATGGCGGAGTCTGCAAAATAAGACACTACAATTACTTTTGCATCTGCCCCCCAAAATTTGGAGGAGACAACTGTGAAAAAGGTGAGACAGGAACAGATACACTGACATCCATTGGGAAGGAAGGATCAAAGCTGGAGTTTGCTCCTTGGATACTTGAGCTGAACCTTTGCACAGGCTCCTCACTGAGGTTATCAGTGGTGACTTTATCTGGCTGGTAGACAGACTGTTTGTGGAAGATTCGTACATTCGTTAGAACAGTGTTTTCTTATATGACACGTTGGAAGGGAATGACATTGTGACAGCAGCTGTAGCTACTTCTAGCCCTGCTGTGTGGAAGAGGGTGGCACCTCCTCCTCCCATGGAGCAGTTCCGGGCTTTTTCACTCCTCTGTGCAAGCCCCGAGGAAGGCACGTGGCCACCTCCCCTCTTTCCCCAGGAAAAGGCAGGGATTTGCCTCTTTTTATCACTGCTCTGGTACCTCCTGCCACAGATGCCTGCACTGGAGATCATTCATGGTGACACCCTATTCTCTTTTTAATTTTAGTGAGTAAAAGCATCAAACAAATTAGCCAAAGCTCAATGTAAACCAAGGAAATTTTGTATTTATGTTGTAATATACGAATGATGAAAAAATGAAGTAGAAAAGCTGCCTCTTACCAGATTTTTAGTCCTCTGAAATCCTGTATCTGGTTTGCAAAAGACTGATGCATGAAATTACAGCAAAAGCCAAACTGACACGCAAACTATGAATCATAAGTATTTTTTTTCACTCCCAAGTGCTTTTGTTGACCTTTTTACAGTGAAGTAATTAAACATGATTTTTTTTTTTAAAAAATAACAACATATAAAAACCTCAGTTGATTTCTCGCAGACTTGGCCCCCGCCAGCATGTCTAGTACTTTAAATCTGTCATGATATAAAAGATGTGCAGATGGATCAAAAATGGATGTATTTAGGAGTGTTTGCCCTTCCAGGTGTTTTCTTGCCCCTGCTCTACAGGCAGAAAGGCCTGGAGCCCAGCTGTGGCCTCCCAACAAGGCTGGCAAGTAAGAAAATGGTAGAAACAGGAGAATAAGGCAGTGTGTTTGGTTTGCTACGAATCAGACTGGGTTTCTGGAACTGTGAGAGGTACTTCCTTCTGTTTCCCTGTGAGATTTTAGCTGATTTTTTTCCCTACTTTCTTTGACATAATAATTGTGCTAGAGGCTGTTGCCCTGCTCAGGGGTCCACATGCAGCAATAAGCAAGTGAATGCCTGTGTGTTTCCATCGCAGAGAAGCTTGAATGCTGGTATAAGAACGGTGGGTGCTGGCACTACTGCAGGGACAGCAGCAGCACCTTTCACGTGGTGTGTTCCTGCGCAAAGGATTACACTCTGCACCAGGACGGGAAGAGATGTGTGCCCGCAGGTAAAACGTGGGCTGCTCCGAGTTACATCAGGTGAAGAGCGGATTTGCAGGCACCGTCCTTTCCTCTTCACTAGCTGCAGAAGAGCTACACACGCTGTAGCTAACTGCAGCTTGTGCTTAGTGCATGGAAAAGACCTGTCTTGTTTATAATGTTGTGTTTATTTATTTTAAATGTTCTCAGTCAGTGTCCAATCCAGTGTCCCGTGAGCATGTGCTGGGTGAAGGAGCAGCCGTACAGTCTGGGGCGGGGCTGCTCCTTCTAACAGCAGCACAGACTTAGATCAACTTAACTGAGTTCTGAAGCTGGAACTGCAGTGTTGGGAGGCGATGGGACAGGACAGGGAGCTTTAAACCTTGTGTTAAGGTGTCCTGACACATGGAGAACGCTGGGTTTGGATTCTGCCCTGAAGAGAGCCCCCAGCAGGCTACTCCTGGAGTCGCCCGCCGTGGCTGACGCCTGTGGGTGGGAAGAGGCACAGCCATGTAACTACCATGTAACTTGGTAACTACCCACACACACCTTGGTCTGATGATGGTGGGGCTGGGTGGTGAAAGTGGAGTTTGACATCGAGTTGTTGCAGGGCTCTTACAGGGGGGTTGAAGCCCATTCTTGGACAGGAAAAGCTCTGCTTTTGTGTTGGAATTTGACATGACACCATGCACCCTGAACTCAAATCCTTATCTCTCTTTCCTCCTTCCAGCACCGTTTCCATGTGGCCTGACTAAAGCCAGGCAGGCTCTGGAGCAGAAAACGCTCCCGAGGGGACAGCATGAGCACAGGGATGACTTGGCCAGGCGAAATGAGAGCACGGAGAGACCAGTGAGGCAAATGGAGCTGGAACTAAGTGCTACTGGGGGAAATGAGACCTTAAAGGGTGCCTTTGGGCAGAGCCCACACAGGGAGGCTGGCGCTGGGCGAGTGGATGTGGCGGGTGGTGCCTCCAGCTGGGACAGGACACTGGCGGCCTCTCTGCCCCAGGAGCTGCTGGGGGATGGTGCTGCTGGGCAGGAGGCAGGTGGTGGCCCCCAGCACAAGGCAGGGCAGGGGACCACTGGGCCAGGCCAGCCCGGGAGCCACCCAGCTCCATGGAGCGAGCCGAGGCAGAGCCCTGTGTGGCAGCACGAGAGCACGGCGCCTGCTGCCAGGGAGGAGGACACGGTGGAAAATGCTGCTGGGCAGAACCAAAGCGAGGAGAACACTGGGCAGAACCAACCAGGTGCCAGTCAGACCCTGCACGATGGGCGTAATGGCAGCAGCGCCTGGGGAAATGCTTCAGACACGCCTCAGCAGGTCCCACTAAAGGTCAGCTCCACTTTAGAGCACAGTGACTCCAGGATCACTGGAGGAACTCTCTGTCACCGTGGACATTGCCCCTGGCAGGTAATATACTCTTCTAGTCTGGCCATAAATACCAAACCTGTTTGCTTGCTTTAGCATCACTGGTTCTGTCTGGAGCAGAGTTCATCAAGCCATTATAAAAGGTTGTTTCAGGTTTAGAGCAATCCAGCCACAGGAATTCCACAAACTTCTACAGGTCTTTTTGATGTGGTGTATCTTAGTTGCCTTATTTATCATTCTTCCCCCTATCCTAGATTACGTGCACTTCTGTGATCTCAGTGCAATGCTTCCTCTCTTAACTACATCAATCAGATCTTCCCCTGCTCTGTGATTCAGGTTCTTTGTTCCTAAATGTTCTTGGTGAAAAGTTGTGCTTCTGACTCCTGTTGGAAGAACAGCTGGTGGTATTTTTCACAAAAATTTTTCTATGACCAGGTGAGATTCTTCATTAGAAAGCTGAGCATCTCCTACTTGTTACAGCAGAGAAGATAAAACTGAGAGGGATTAAATGTGAAGGCAACTGGCATGTGGCAAGTAGGGGAATCTCCCTGAAGTGTTTCTTTTATTTCCACTATCTTGTTTTTTAAATCTTGGTTTGGGGATTTTCTTGTGTGTGTCAATGTCCTCATATGTTACTAATTTTCACTTATTTATATTGTCTCCATTTCATCAGTGTACTGTTATTGTCAGTCTATTTTATTGCTGTCACACAAAAAGATTTTCCCCTTCCACACATCAGGAGGTATTTTACAGGTGGAAAAGCAGGCTGAACCTGGACCCTGCAGACACTGCACACTTTTGCAAGCTGAAATGTCACTATCAGTACCTTGTCTGGTCTTCTGCCACCTCACACACTTATAGGAGGAACACCAGCTGCTTTCCTTCTGATAAGCAAGACCTGGTTTTGGGTTGCAAGAAGGAAACGTAGTCCGAATGCTGCCTGTTACACTTTCTTCTTGAAATACCATCCCCAGAGTTTTAAATTTTCATTCCATTAGGCAATTTATAATTGAATCTCATATTTTATGGGTTTTTTTTTTTTTAAGGGTTTTGCAAACCCTTTCATTCTAGTTCTTCATAACTTAAGACAGAATTTTTATGTCATTTTTCTTTGCTACTTTTCTATGTTCTAGCACTGCTGAACTGAACACTAAAAGCATCAGTAGTACATAGAATGAAGTCAAAAGGTCTTATGTAAAACATGATGTTACTCCAGGAACTAGACCAGAGTAAGGGGCCAGACTGTGTTGCAGCTTTTTCCACTATTTGATTATTAACTTCACTGAAACTGCAGCGTACCAAAATTTCAGCTTTTCTTTCATTTTAACACATAAAATAACAGGTTTGAGGAGAAGTTTAATTGAAGACATGCCAAGGCATTAATGAAGCTTGTAATTCTGAAAAGACAAACATCTAACGCCAAGCAGTGTGCTTTTACTTCACTTACTCTCTAGATCATTCCAAATCTTATTACCAATAAAAGGATAAACAAGTTTCTGAATCTCCACTCTTGCACTTTCACTTGACAACTGGGAAAGTGAAAAACTTCTCTATCCCTTGGTCATGTAGACAAACACTACACTCTTCTTTTTTACCCTGAGTACCAACGTGTAACACACCTTGTGTTACTGTTCACCCCCACCCCCAGAAAATTTCAAGCCACATGAGAAAAATCACCATCATGCTTTGGTTTCCTTAGGAGAATGCCAGTCACTGTAACCCTAATCCCACTTGATTTTGCCAAGTTCGGCTCCCTTATCACAGATGTGCAGTCATTTTATTACTATTAACGTTGTCATCTTGGCTTGGTGTGCTGTAGTTATTGCCAGAAGTGTTATTTTCAGGATACAGAGCCTGCAACCCACCCGAGAGAGGGGCAGTGGCACAGGAACCGAACACAGCCCTGGCGCCACCTTTGTCCTCCTCTTTCATGCAGGTTTTGATCCGGAACAGTAATGATGTTGGCTTTTGTGGAGGGAGTTTAATCAGCAGTCGCTGGGTGGTCACCGCTGCCCACTGCCTCGACCTCGTCCGGCCACACCACGTGACCGTCGGTGAGTATGTCTGGGTGAGCAGGGGTCAGCGCTCCTGACACACGTGTTGTGCTGGACGTGAATGCAGGGCAGTACATGGCTGAGGAACAGACACACGCATCCAGCCTCCCTCAGTTACAGAATGCTCCATTTTCTTGGCAAGTGCCAGGGTGCTCCAACTGGTCCCTTCTGTTTTCATGGCAAACCTGGGAATGCAAGGCCCAGGTTTATCTCCTCCTGTCACACCTTCTGGCAAACTCCTTGTGTGCAGAGACTGAGCACAGCTTGGGGTACACCTCAGAAGGATTCCTGTAGGTGATGGTCTGCTCTCAAGTCGGTTTTGTTTTTTAATGGACCCCAAGATTAGTCTCTTGCTGTGGTGCCTACAATCTCTCCCTTGTAACATGCTACAGCACTCGTTACAACAGCAGGAGCTGGAACCCGGTGCAGCAGGAATGCCGCAATAAACAGTCTTATGCTTGGAACCCCTAGAAGAGAGACATGCAAGAGGAGCAAACATAACACAGCACTGCATAACTGACAGGAAACGACGCCTCATCCAGGGCTGCATCTTAATGCTCATGTCATGTTCTTGAGGGGGTGGGAAGATAAAGGCCCATTTAAAATACAGTGCTTGCTAAGAAGCAGTGGCAGTGCTTACAGTAAAAATCCCTAGCCCAGAAGCCATAACCTCTGCAAGTATCCATTCAGCCAGCCAACAACTTTCATTTGCTGTTAAAGGGCAAACAGGTAAAGCTGCAGCATAAGGAAGGACTGTTGCAGAGTATGATGTTTTGGCCCATGCCCCCCTGGGCTGAAGGTCAGAGCATTAATTCCCTATCATTCCTGTTCCTCCAGCCTCCTGCCTGCCAGTTTGCTTAACGTTTTAACTTGTTGTGACTACAGGAGACTTTGACAAATACCAGAGAGAATTCAAAGAACAGAAGATCGGTGTGGAACGAACCTGGACACATCCCCATTATGACTCAAATATCTACAACAGTGACATCGCCCTGCTGTACCTGAGCAGCGCTGTTGTTTTTAACGAGTACGCCGCTCCCGTCTGCCTGCCCAGCCCCAGCCTGGCAGCCCTGCTCTCTGCCGAGGGGCGGGCGGGCATGGTGAGCGGCTGGGGAGCCACGCACCCCCGGGGCTCCACACTGCGCTTCCTCATGAAAGTCCAGGTGCCCATCGTGAGCGCGGAGACCTGCCAGCGCTCCACAGCCAGGCTCCTCACCGACAACATGTTCTGTGCGGGCTACGGCACCGAGGCTGCCGACGCCTGCAAAGGGGACAGCGGGGGCCCCTTCACAGTGTCCTACCACAACACTTGGTTTCTCCTGGGGATTGTGAGCTGGGGCGAGGGCTGCGCTGAGAAAGGGAAATACGGCGTATATACGAGAGTAGCCAACTACATCCCCTGGATTAAAGAAATCGTTGAAAACGTAACAGATTCAGAAGAGTTCTCCATTAGCTTCTCTTAACTTCCTTAAAGGCAGGGACAATTCTATTATTAGTGTTTCAGTCTAAGACACTGCAGTTCCTGTCCTTAATGATGTAAAATCAATCTTCAAAGAAATTCTAAGTATCCGTTTACCATAAATAGTAAAATTGTTCATGCAAGTATTACCAAGTAAAAGAATTGTGAATAATAAAGAACTACTCTGCAAATAACAAAGGAGACAACTCCAACTTTTCTTAATGTAAATTGTCAGAAAGGGTTTTTGGTGTGGAGGAAGAATCAGCTTTCCATTTCTCAAGCCTACATGCATATCATCAGAACAGGCATTAATCTGCAGTGTGAATGATCTTAGTGGTGTCTGGCCTCTAGTTGAGACATGGTGCTGAACACAGCAGTATGGACTGGTGAAGTTTTGTCACCAAGTACAACTGTTGCCTCAATTACCATTCTGTTCACTAAAATGCAAATGTTTTCTCATACAAAACCACCATCTGTATGGAATCGTGTATTACGAACGGCCCTGGATACACTGCCTGAGAGGGAATCCACATGGCTGCAGCTGGAGGAACACAGGGATTATACAGCAGAACTCCGAGAAATGCATTATTTACTGGGGGACTCTGAGGAAACGCTGTCTCCTGTGCCTCAGCAGGCAGCCCTGCTGGCAGCACAGCACAGCTCAGCTCCAGCAGCCAGCCAGGAAAGGCAGAGATGTGGGCAAGAGGCCCCCCCATATGCCTGGGCAGAGTTCCACTCACCTGCAACTACAAAACACGGAATAGCACAAGTATCAAACGGAACTATTTCTCACGCTTCTTATTCCAAGAAAAAAAAGCCCTTCTCTTTATTTTGAAGACACCCCCACCTCCTCATGAAAACCCATGTGTGAATACAGGTGGTGGGGAAAAAAAAAAGTGTACAACCACAGCAAGAAACAACTTCCCTGCTGCCCTAAAACAAAAGGAAGCTTGATCATGTGCACTGAGCCCTCCCTCCAAGAGGCCAATTTCCCCACACAGCCTAAGATGCTTCACATACTTAAAAAGTGCTTGATGCCAAATACCCTTGCCCACAGGTATTTTAATATCCCCTCTTTGAGTTGTAGAATCACCTTTCTCTGATTCTTTCTGTTGCAATTAACAGGTGGTCTTTGTGACCCACATCAAAAGATGTTTTGATTTTGTGGTCTTTCTTAGAATTCACAAAGTTTAAAAAAAAAACCCAGCACTCACACTGATGAGTGGTTCTCATTCTCAGCTTTGTTCAGAGCCTTAGAAAAGTCCGTTATTACTGTTTGACAAGAAATAAAACCTTTCTGTTTGCTTCAGCAAACATGTGACACAGCTATTATGACTAATTTTGATGGCAAGAAACTGTATTAGGACTGCACAAGACCACCAATGTCAGTAGTTTTAGGAAGTATTTCTTAGGATTTAGAAGTAGCCCACAGTGCCCCATGGCCACAGTACTGGGCTGCAGTAACAGAGCTACAAAAACAAAAAAAAAATTGGGAGAGAGGAGGGGGAAACCCATCCTAATCCAGAGACTTTCAGGGCCACCTGGATATGAACAGCTCTACACTGTTCACTTACTTTTCACAGTTTCCAATATGACAGTAAGGAATTAAATCTTTCAATAAATTCTTAATTAAAAATGGAAAACCACCAAAACCCCTTGAAACTCTCAGCATGCTAAACACACACACCTGTGGGCGGTTACTGTGTCACAAGTACCTGGCACAAGAAGGTGAGGTAGTCTTACTGGCAGTAGGCTCCATCCAGCGCAGGCATCCTCCTTCAGGTTTTGCTTTGTGTCCCAGCATACAGCTTTATGTTACTGTCAGTCCCCTTCAGTCTCCCAGGAGCATATTTAACTGTGACCACTGAAGTACTCACATGCTCCCCGTCCCCAGTGCCAGCAGACACCAGCAGTACCGAGCACCTCCAAGTTGGCCAACACCACCATCCCTACTGCAGAGATTTCACAGAACTGCAGCGCACACATCATGGCAAAGGGGCTGTGCTCTTCTGGAACAAAGGCAACTTTCCTCCTGAAATCCCAACTGCCAGTCATCCATGCAAGGAGAGGAGTCCTCTTTCTGTAGGCAAGCTCAGCAGAGCAAAACATTTTGAGAGGTAAATAAGCAGAGGTACAGTGTTGCTCTGCTGTCTGAGGCACCAGGGAAAAAGAAAGAGGAGCATTAGCCCCCTAACAGACAGGAACCTGCCCACTATAGAATAAGCTTTTCAGAAAGTCACTAGGGCAACGGAGCAACACCCCTTTGAGCTACCCAAATACCAAATCAGAAGAAAAATATATACATGGCTTTCAACTCTTAAGCCCTGCAGCAAAGGCTCCCCCCCCCCAGCCAATCCAGGTGCTGCACTGAGCACCCAAAGAAGTATCCAGCAAGCTGATACTCCATCTTCTCAAGCCGTCTCACTAACCTTGATTTTAAAGTTCAGCTTACTTCAAAAATAACCCATTCTACCACCTGGCACAGAGAAGCCCATCAGCTGCCACCCTTTGTTCACCGCAGCATCACCAGCGGAGGCTCTGCTGTCTATGCAGAGGATGAGCAGCAGTGACACACGGCTGTCGGACAGCAAGTGTTTCAGCTGGATGCCACTGTAATTCTCTGGACCTTTACATCATGCTTTCATGAAAAATTAAATCCTTTCAGTAGAAGATGGTCAGTATTTCTATTCAAAACCAATACATATGTAGATTTCCAAAGCCAGAACTACTGATTAATAAAGCACTGAATAAAGAGGAAACACACAATAACAAACAGAACACTAAGAACTGGCAGCTTTCCCACAGACCAGGTGGTCCACACACATTCTTTTGAGCAATCAACAGACAGCCCCCCGAAAAAACAGAAGTTGTTTTATTGTCTAAAGTGTTGGAATACAACAAATACGTGATCTGTACAAAGGACACAACAGAGCAAGTTTAAATACAATCAGGAGAAAGGAGTCCCCGTATTCACAGTCCTCGGACAACATCTTATACCAGAACCTGAACCAACAATTTAAAAGATTCACTAAAAAAAAAAAAACAAAACCCAAACAAGTTGTTAAAAAATTTAAAGGTCTCCAAAGAGTCTATGGGTGTATTGTCTTACAGCAGAGCTCATGGGGTATTCTGTGAAGGGTCACAATGGCATCTTATTGCCCTCAATGCTGATTTTCACTGCATGGGCCGATCTGCTTTTTTTCCTGATATCTGTGAATTTCCGCATCTGTTTGTCCAGTCGACTCACCCCTTTCTTAGAGGTCCCCTGGAACTTAAAAAATAAAACTAATAATTACCACTGAAAAAAAAGCAGACGTCCCAGAGTTTCAAGAAAAGTGAGGCATGCAAGGTTAAACCTGCAAGAGGGAGGTGATGAAGCCACTGGTTCCAACTGGGGGGTGTGTCTGTGCACATGCGCACACGTGTGTGCATTTGCTCCCCAGAGAGTGGATAAAATTGTTCCCCCAGTATATGCAGCACAGAAACGGTGGTAGTCGCACTCACAGACATCACACAGTAAAGCTTCCACATCCAGGGATTAATAACCGTGTTAGATGTTCACATGCCAGCTGAATATACAGTTTGGAATAATTTTTTGTGTCTGTATTGGCTGGAGCTTAGTGTCAGAAATACACTGCACTGCACTATGGTGTCACATACAGAGGCTTCCTGTGGGGGGAAGACTTTTAGAGATGCTTACACTGTAAGTGCAGCAGGCTAAATTGACATTTCAATTCCAAACTGCAATTTATTGTAAAGATTAGTGCTTATAGAGCAAGAGCTTATTGGGAAAAAGGGGGTGCAGGGGGAAGCAAAAGAAATGCCTCAGCTGACCATATAAGTTATTAGAAGAGTTATTGTATTTCACCTCTGTATTTTAACTGCAAATGAAAAACTGCACAGCAGTTATTTTACACAGATTAAATACAGTGATTCTGTAAAGAAGTGACAAAAGACAAACAACAAGGACCTCCCAATCTGTAGCCATTATTTCCTAGAAAGCAATTTCCCCTAACTAGTCAACAGAAACAATAAATTATGGGAACTCGACACATTTTAAGTTTGGGAGAAATGAGATATCCAGAACATGCTACTTAATATCTAACAAAAAAAAATCTATTAGAAACTGAACCTCTGGTTCCCATCACTAAGGTGCTCCTGAGGCACTGATTTTAAATAAACTTGATTCATAAAACTGTTCACAATTCATTGAAATTTAATCTGGAATTTCACAGGTTTTTGTGGGGGTTTTTTTGTTTTTTTTTTTTTAAACAAATAAACATGAAGCTTAAACAAACTCAACAGTTATCATTCTACCATTTGTGCTAGCCTCTTCCTGCCAGCATTCAGTCTGTGGCAGCCCTGCTCACAGAACCAAAATGCAGACTGGAAATTGTCAAAACAGTTCCTGCACTGACACACATCACTGACTGATCTCCCTCCACCCACCATTCACAGCCAGGGAGTCTCCTTCCCTGCCTCCTGTCAACCACCCCTACAGTCTCACATCACTCCGCTTCCTTGGAAGAACAGGTGTGACAGTACCTTACTTTGTACCAGTGAAATGTCAGCCACAGGTGCTGGTGCACAGTGATGTGAGGTCCTGCACTAAGGGCTAAGAGCTCCCGTGTGCCAGGTCAGGTAAACCTGGAGAACCTAACTATGTCAGGACAGCATTCAAAAGCACGGGTGGGGCAAAGCTCTTTTTGAGTGCAGGTATTTTCATGTAAGACCTGGCATTTGGGTACCCTGAAGCTGTCAAGACAGGTATCACAGCAAATGTTATGTGCTACAGCCTATTTTTTCCTGTACAAGTTACCTTTTAGGTCACAGTACAGACATGAGAGAATACGAGGAGAGTTTTCCAAGTTTAATTTAGGGTGCACACACTCCCTTCCTGTATGTGCAAACTGCCAACAGCTGAAGCACATGCACTGTTCACACCTCCCTCGAGGGATACCTCTCAAACTTGGGGAAGGCAGTGTCATGGCTACAGGGGCATCCTGTTGCCTTCAATGCTGAACTTGATGGCTCGATGCACTTTGCTGAGTCGTTTCTGTTCAGCAAACCGTCTCTTGTGTTTTTCCAAGCGACTAATACCTCTCTTAATAGTCCCGGGCTAGAAACAATATCTCAATTAATGCACAGAAGGAGAGATAACAGCAGAAAGCACAGTAATTATTACTTCTTACATGTGTTATACCATGTACTCTGCTTTTAAATTGAACTGTACAAGGTAGATGGGTGAACCAAATAAAGCAAGGCAAAGGCCTCTACTGAAGCTGTTAATGTTTGCCAAAACCTCTAAGTATTCCCAAACTGGAATATGGTCAGAAAATCATGATACCAGAACTGGGAGAGGTATAAAAATATCAGTGACACTTAATGAATTGCAGCTTTAGTTCAAAATGCTCTAAAGTTAAGAGGTCTGTAATCAGGTGCTCACCCTAGAGAAACTCTGGAACAGTTAACATGAAAATCTTTTGGG